ATATTAATCGGATGAGACGCATGAGAAAATGTTGTTTCAAGTGAAGGAGAAGAGAACTGATGATGATGATGTATACCTTACCTGGCGAAACGTATAAGAACAACAAGGCAAAACTTTTGTTGCTTTTGGGCTGACTAGTTACACGGTTCTTGAGTTAATAATGTGATTTTCTGGAAAAGATAATCAAAAAACAAGGGAAACTAGAACAGACAGGTCTAGCTAGCTTTTCGCTACCAATCAGTAATGCCTAAAGCCCGCATTCGGCAACTTAAACTCCGATGTCAATGGCCACTGCGTTGCTCTGTCGGTGGCAATCAGGAGTAACTTTACACAGTCTAGTCTAACAGCTGGAGGGGAGCTGGGAGAGATAAGCGTAGCAAGGGTGCAGTTCGGAGGAAGGCGTTTAATCATGTAGCAAATGAAGCAATCATTTGGCGAGGTTTGGCGATGGTTCGCAGGATGTCACACCCTGCCTCAACACAAAACAAAGCTATATCACCAATGGATGCTAAGACTTGCGAAACAACGCTCGCGCGTACACCTATTCTTTTTGGAATTTTCTTCACACAGAGCGATCGTTTTTGATCTGAATATTGGTGTATGAAGCCCTGCGCCTTGGGTTGCAGGCATGGCGCTGACTGTAAACTTGGCTATCGTTGGTCACTTGCACGAGAAATCACAACACAGGTACCTCAGCTTGGGTTCAACCTGATTCTGAGCTGATACAAAGACGATGTTCGGTAGAATTTGTCTTCAGAACTAAGAAAAGAAGAACCCTTTTACTGTCCATTATAAGCACGGATACTGGTTTTGCGTGAAGTTAAGTTGCAATTAAATGAGCCCACGACTATAACAGTCATAACTACGAGATGCAGGAAATAATCAGCGAACGAAGGAAAGCTGTGATGATGATCGCAATAATTCCGACTGTGTGATATCATAAGTGAAAATGCAGTCCCAAGCAGGATCCACAATCCTTGCTCATGCGGACAAATCTTGGATAACCGTCAAGACTAATACATAAACAACTGGATTATTTCTAACAGTAGATTCGATAGTCTGGACCTATAGTAATTCTTGGCGAAGGGAGAAAAAACTACGCAATATTGTAAAGCGCGACTTGAAGGAACAATAGGCGACTGCGCTTACATTTTGCTGATTGCCTGAAACGGAAACAAATGATTGCCTCTTGCAAGAAGCAGACTCAGCACAATCATTAGAACAATGGCTGGAGACCGGCCATGCTTCCAAACGAGCTCTAAAATCACGCTTCCAATGAAAAAGGTCAGTGACTGTGCGATGGTTTGCTGATGTCTCTCGAACCTGACGGAGACAAGTACAAATTAGTCGCAGCTTTTTGAACAAAGTAATACAGAGTCCGAAAAGGAAAGGGTGAGGCAAGCAGACCTAAAACCATCCTTCTGCATGATATGGCCCAAACAAGTTACAACTCTAAAACTGTTAGAAATCACCTATGAGATCTTACTTCATCCAACCTACTTACCTGGCCTTTGTGCTAGCAGATTAGCATCCTTTCAGATATTTTACATTTATTGATAAAAGATTCAAAAATGAGGTTATCATGATGGAAATATTTTGTGAATCCCATGAATAACTGATTTTTATAAAAATGGTACGTCAGATCAACAGTAATTTTCAACAGCCATTGTTGGAAACTAGTCATACCCTGACTAGTGCATAGCGAATTTTGTCTAAGTGCAATTATTTTTTCACAGGTTGAATCGGCTATTTCGTACTAATCTGTCGTGTGGGACAGCAACCGTCGTTTCTAAACACAGCCTAACAATAATCTCTATTTCTACGATTACCCAGGAAAACATAGGTAGGAAAATAATGTTCCACCAGTTCAAGGAAAGCCTGCAAAAAGAAGAATGTTGGTCAACAATAAGCTGAAATATAGGTTTCACAAGATCCTTCAATAATGGTCAAAACTCGACTTTTACTTTAATTCTACGCTGCATTAAAACACTAAAGAAAAGCAGTCACTTTATTCTTACTCTTCTAGTCTTTTCCAAACTCCCCAGTGTATCTTGCGATGAATGAAATACAGTTTCACGAGGCAGATGCAAAGCCCGCCTGTTGTGCAACTTCCACTGTGCTTTAAGGACGATACAATACTATGTCATCTCTGTTTTATCTGTTAAGTAAGGGCTCTTCAACTGTGCAGGATGTTTCGTGGATTCCAACTTAATACAAGTTCACGAGCCTCTACACATACCGCATGTCCTTCTGGCATTACACATTTTTCTTCGCGGGATAGGTAAATGCTCAAGTTTACACACATGTCACTGTTGATTCCATTTGCATTTTCAAAAAAACCCCACAAGCTTAAGGTTCAAAAAGCGGAGTAAGAAAGACTTCCAAACATTACCTTCCTGTTGAATAATTATGTAAAATCCGGCAATGCCTGATTCTCATACTAAAGACGATGGCATACTAGGCGTAATAGGTGCAGCATGTCATGCGAACTTTAAGTGGGCTAGGTAAGGAAACAAACATGAGAAGATCATCCGACACAAGGTTGGATCTAGCGAGGAGATTAGCGTGTTACATGGGGAAAGAAATACAGGTAATGCCGAAAACAGGTAGTTTTGGTGGCGGCTTACGATGGCCATCTCTTGGTTCTCAAGCGCAACTAGGCAGCCGACACATCCGCAAATACAGAAAAAGCCAGAAAAGACAGACAGAAAAAGTCCATGACTCATCAGATACACCCAGCCAGCAAACTTGTGCTGTGCGCGCACGCATTTTCTGGTGCCAGATGATTATGATTGGCTGAATGGAGCCAGGACGAAACCCGAAACAATCCTGTACCAATTTGCTCGCATCCATGTCGACACGTTCTCTGCTATCGTGTTTTGGTCAAGTTTCGCCTGGCTGGTGGTTGTCTGTTCAGGAAGTCGATCACGGTTGCTGTGCCGCTGGTTGGCTTGTGACAGCCAACACATGCATCGCGTTTATCGTTGTCCGAAAAATATGCACAGACGGTGAATTCGGGGACCGACGTCAATTTGTACCGACATTTCGAACATTACCTCGTTTCCATCATCAGAGTTTCAAAATCAAGGCGGTGGGTGAGGGGAGGTGAGTGGCTGATAACAGTTAATAAGGCAGACATTTGCATTCCAGTTTCACTTTTCTGCCGGTAATTCATTTGGGGAAGACTTGGCAGTCTCGGTGGGATTTGAACTCAAGGCACCAGCGAAAGGTTGTAGTACGGCCAACCACGTGAACCACGAGGCCCTACCGCGAATAGTTAATCTAATCACACTTGGGTCGCAGCTCGGTTGGCTAGAGTGTTGACTGTACTAAAATGTTTTGTTTGGTGCCCTGAGTTTGACTCCCACCGAGGCTGCCCAGGATTGGACAATTGGGTCGAACGTATTATTCACACCTGTCAATGCCCTCATTGATTTATTGGTAATGTCACTTTACCTATACTACTAGGTATCGTGTTGCTGCCTTGGGGCTATAGTTCCAAGACACAAGGCAATGAGTGTGTCTCGTAACGCGACCGGTCGGTGACTCTCTAGTATGCATATATATAGCTCACGATAAACAAATCTACGTGCCAGCCGCAGCTGCGCTTACCTCGCTAAGTACCGGTGGGCCCCGCTGCGTACAACGGCCGAACTATAGTCATCTGGAAACCATTTTTTGCGCATAGTTGCATTGCATCCACACTTAGACACTGATTGTTAAAGAATCATATGGAAAAAGCGCGACAAGCGTTCTACAGGTCTCTGTACAAACTGCACTTCCTTCTTATTTGTCAAATATATATATATATATATATATATATATATATTGAGAA